AACTTGTGGTGTCAAAGTGAAAAGAAGGAGATGATTAGTTGTCATTTTACTGCAGTGTTTGCCACTACCTCCAAAACAAAGCAAATACAGCTAGTGACTAATTGCTTAATCAGTTTGTTGGGGCTTTTTTTTTTTTCTCTCAGAAAACATGGTCACCTCAGGAAGGAAGACAACAGCTCATTTGCAGCTTAGTGCTTTACAGTCTGATTCTGGGAGGTGCCAAGTACCTCCTCTCAAAACTAGAGGAGATAGAGAATTTACATATTGAGAAGGGACTAAGTTGATATAGATTCAACCTCTGACGAAAAGCTTTTCAACAAATTTTCATCCTGCAGGGTGAAATGTATATTAAATGAATTGTCCAAATACCAAGATACAAATTACAGCGTGCCATAGCTGCGCTCAGGGCAATTAGGTGCAATCACACCTTAATGAAACTGGATTTAATAAAAAGTCTTCATATAACTATATTTCAAATATCAAGATATTGCTTCTATGATAAGCTGTTTATGTCAGATTTACATTTGGCCTTGAATATTCAGGAAGAATTACTACCTTTTATAACATTCAAAATTCAGTGGCTTATCATTATTTGTTTTGAGGTTCCTGTGAGTGGACTGAGTGTTAGACTCAATTCAATCCCACACTATTTCCTCATACACTCAACCATGAAATACTTTTGTTTGTTTGTTTGCTTTTAAAAAAAGGGAGGCGACAAGTTTAAAAGCTCAAAGAACATCAACTCAAGGGAAAACATGCTGAGACTGAAAAAGTAGTCTGAAGTGATTCAAGACCAGGGGGTAAATGCAATCTACTGCTAGCGATTGACACTGCAGCTGAAGCCAGTGACACGGTGCTGACTTACACTGGGTCAGCATCTAACCCCCTGATCGCTAATGCAGGAAGTGAAGGCTTTTCAGGCTAATCTGTAGTATGAGTCAGACGCAGAGTACTACTGCAAACTGACTCCCCATACGAGTATTTTACATGTTTGCTTAGCCCTCCTCAGACATCACCAGTGGTCTATGCCTGTTAATGCCTCCTCCTCAAAGTGCTTAACCATCACAACATACTAAAACCCACAATCCTTGTGGTCCTCTGACTGTTGGCTTGCCTATAGCTAACTGTTAACTCAGCAAAAAAACCAAAAAAGCAGCATATATGAGAAATGCTGTTTTCTCAGCTCATCGCGGATGAGGCAGAAAATGTTTTCAGTTTCAGCTGGAAAACTTATCTCTTTAAAAACGAGTGGTTTTTTTCCAGTAAGCAAGACTGGTTACGGTAAGAAGCTTGAAACAAACATAAATGTGTGGTTTTTAAGGAAAATAAAATATTTTATCTAACCAATATAAAATGTTGCTATTAAAATTTGCTATAACCAACGTACATGGAGGTTGCCTTGTCTTTGCCAAAGCAGCAAACTGCAGTGGCATCTAATAAACCAGATGAGATTCACCTTCCTACCAGTTGGTAAGCAAAACAGGGATGATGGCTTTAGAGCCTTTCCAATATGCGTAATCAGCAGTTCTAAACGTCTCCTTCTTTGGAAAACAGAAAGCAAGTTAGAAACTGGCTGCAGTAAACACTGCTTTCTCTGTTGACTATAGGTTAGTTTTGCTGATATTTTCCATAGCTGTGCGCCTAGCGAAGGAAAACAGCCACTGGGCAGGAAAAGAGACTCTGGAGAGCTTGTAGTCTTTCTGTCAGCATCAGTAAAACTGATACGCAGCCACACCGTGAAAGGAAAATGGCAGGTTGCTTTAATTCCAGATAAGCAGCAGCAACAGAAAATTTATACCATCAGAATAGATGGCTTCTTTTTCAAGTTAGATACAGATGGTGCTTACCTTCCTTCACTTCAGTTTAACGTGCATCAAGCAACACAGTTAGACAATTCAAGCCAGAAGCCTGGCTCCTTACCCTGCATCTCATCCTCAATCCCTCTTTTCCTTCTAGTAAGGTAACTAACTTACTTCATCACCTTTGTCTCCCTTGCTATCAAGTGAGAACATTCTAATAGCATTTGAAAATATGCAGTTCTGCATCAGTTCTAAATATAATTAAGTAGATAATATTAGAAATGGCACAAAAATCAGGAATAAAAAAAAGTATATTCTAACATGTAGCACTGCAGAACAGTCCACAGTGATATTCATAATTTAAAAAAAAAAAATACTCATGCCCGTGCTCGTGAAAACTTACTACATGTAACATGGTCTACTCTTCAGTAGCATTTTCATTCAGCTGCTGCCATGATTAATATCCAAGTGGATAGTTTAGGCATTTATTTTATGAGGAAATACTTAAGGAATTATCAAACAGGCAGAGTAAAGGTTAAAGTCTTCTTGCTTATCTAAAACTTAAAAAAAAAAAAAAAGAGTACAGTTGAATCTTCCCAATTAATAGACTGGATACTTACTTTTGCACATGGACCACAACCTAACACATAGAGGAAAAAACACTGCAATGTTTGTTTTAAATCTGTTCTTTTCCTGCCCTAGGATGGATGCCTGTCCACAGCTGTGACCTGCTTCCAGAGTGGGATACTGAAATTACAACCAGAAAACAGCCAAGACAATTCCACATTCATCCAAACCACTAAAGTCTTCAAAAACTTCACTTTCAGAAGCCCTGAAATCCAGGTAGGATTTCCTCACAATGCTCAAAAATGTGATCATTGCTCCGTATTTTCTGTATCAGACACCACCAGCAATGGTACAATCATCGAAAGCAAACTTGTTAGAAAAACCGGTCTGCCTTTGATTACTTTGAAAATCAAAAATGTCCAAAAATTTCCTGCAATTCTGGGAAAGGCATTCACTCCGATCCTGTCAATTGCGTGTATGTACTTGGCAACCACGCTATGTGCTGGACAACAGGACAAGGATTACTGCAAAACATGTGAATGAAAGGTGTCGTTACTTTATTCTTTCCCTTTCTGAAATAGCCTTTATCTCAGCTTTTCCATTTGTAAAATGCTTTGATTACAACCCTCGTGATTTTTCAGTAAGAAAGCGTGAAGCGTTATTTATGATCCTGATGTGCCGTTTAGAAGTGGCATGATTTTCTTTTATCTTCCAGCAGTGTGAGTCTTCATGTGAATCTTACGAGAAAAAAAGCCCCAAAGAGTTTTTGAGGAGCTTTGAAAAACTAATCCAACAGGTAATCAGAGATGATTCCTCCTGGGTGCTTTCTGACATCTTGCAAACAATTACAGATACCTTTATTTTACGCTATTTCTAACAATGTGCTGTTTTTACAGTTATTCAAGAACTGATGTGAGACGCACCAGAGCTGAAGGCTACAGAAAATCTACTATTTAAAGCAGACACTATGTTATTTAAGACAACATGAAAAATGTAAATATTTTCCATTGCTACTGTGCTGTGCTGTGTGTGTGGTAAGTGAAAGCTTGTCCTAAAATATTAAGGAGTCTTACTTGGATGGCTATTCATAAGATGGATGCTGTTTTGAAAATGATCCTAACCTTACCTTGCAGTGAAAATTAAATTACAATTTCACAAAAAAATGTTGTCTTAAAGGACTTCACCACCACCTTCTGCTGAACTAGAAATACATGAGATGGCTACTCCTGTATTTTGGCTCTGATCTTAGATGAATCTCATACAGAGACGTCTCAAACTTTTTAAAGAAAATGAACAAAAGCTTATCAGATGCTTTGAAACCTCAAAAGGTATTGACTTGGACAAATTTCCTTATCTACAAAAATACCACACACACAATTTTATTTGTAAGTTCTTAAAACGTATTGTAGCTAACTGTGGAAAAATATCCTGCATTTAACTGTCTTAGAAATACTGGAAAAACATTTACAAATCACACTGCATGGCATGGGTCTGACCGTTGTCCATCATCAAGCACATTTGCCATGGGTTTCAACAGGGAGAGGAGTAAACCACATGCTTGAAGGGGAAATGGAGGATTCTGTGGGGAAAAAGACATTTCAGAAGACGGAATTCCACTAGACTCCCCCAGCTTAATGTGATAAATCAGCAGAGGCATGACCAGGTCCAACAAATACAGTAATTTGATTATTCAGAGTAAAGCAGCTCATATACAGATTGCCCTTTCTCAGAAGACAATATTTTACACTCATATCCACGTACTATTAACACTATTCCTCCTCTCTACTCGATACATATAAACGATTTAAGTTTCATTAGCAATTTTTTCTTTAAAAAATGTCAAGTTTTTTGTTACATGGAAACCTGACTGTACAGCTTCCAAAGCATGAACATTTCTGTGGGACTATGGCCAGAGTCACCATTGAAATTTTTTTAAAATAAAAGTGAGTATCATAGCACTTAAAACTAGTTTTTCTATACCACCATATTCTGCTTGCAATGATTCTGTACCTCTAGACTCCTCCACCTGAGAAGTAACTGTTAATTTACCCCCTAACAGATATTAGCCCCATGTGAGGACACTGATCTTGGAAGAGTGTAAAGCCTTCCAGTAAAAATTAACCTTTCATCTATTTTTCTCTGTACTTACTAGAAACGTGGTATAGAGAGGAAAATGGAAAGCTACATCTAGTGTTACGATGGAAAATGACAAGCTTAGTTACCTCCAAAAATAATGAGGTAGTATTAAAAATATTTCCATTCCTACCCATGTCCGCCTAAAGGAAAACTAATACAAAAAAGCTGGTTTGGCTCCACTTTTTTTTTTTTTTTTTGCCTTGTTCTGAAATATGAACCTCCTCAAAACCATATGTCAGAGGAGGAAGGAAGATCCTCAGGGCAACAACGAACCAGGTTTCCACCATGAACTCTCCTTATTTCTAGTGCTGATCATTTTGATTTAGTGAGTGGTTTTTTTCTTTTGATTTTTTCTCTTTCAAAAACCGCTTTTCCTCTGAGCAATGTTCTCTCTCATACCTCAGTGTTTCCACGTTACTGCATGAGAATTAACATTCTAAACAGGAACCACCACTCATATGTAAGTAATCAAGCTATTAAGTTTGAATGGTATTCTGCACCTTTTATCCCCGTTTCTCTGACTTCGCTCCCCACAAAGCCTCATCTTCGTACAAATAATATAGCGTGCATTTTTTGATTTGGAAGTGTCTTTTCCAGTAGTTCGCCAAGTGCATTCAAATCAATACTCTAAAAGGACCTGTTAAAATTCTTGTTGTGCAGATGAAATGTGATTAGTGTGCCCTAACAAAGAGAACGTTATATGTTACATATTTATTAATAATCATTATAACGCATTGAGAAGTAACTTTTGTACCTGGGATGGATATTTTATGACAGAAAAGCGATTTCCTACCAGAATGTCATAAGCTAAGTAGATACTCCTGCCTACGCTGCAACAATTTCTGGGTTTTGTACACAAGGTAGCATGTAATGTGCAGTCAGTAATGTAGCTATTTCTGTTTAGTGACTTGCTCCACTGTTTTTCAACTATGGATCTCATCACACCAAGCACAGTGCTAGAGGGTTTTTGTTATTGTTGATTTAGACCAAATATATTAATTTGTTAATTGAGGCTATTTCTTGTACCTGCAGAACAACTTAAACCAAAAATCTCATTCATAGGATTCAAACAACTAGTGAGAAACTGTAACAAATGTGACTTAGAGAGCTAATAGTTCTGAGATCTTCCAGAAAACTGTATTTACTGGACAATCCAGTCCAGATATGTATGGGGAATATTAATCACAAAACTATCACAGCTGATTGTAGTTAACACCACACCTCAGGGCAGCGTTGGCACAATCACTGTGCTCTTCTCAGAGTTGGGAAAGGTTGAGTGTAATATCCAGGGTGTGTTACTTGAATCCCAAATGGAGAACAGGAAATCAGTGAAGGCAGCTCAGTCTTCACGAAGACATCATCTTGTTCTTCTCCGCTGTTCTGAGGACTAAAAAAAAAAGATGCCCCAGGAAGAACCTGTGACCCTAGGAAGCTCGAGTGATCGCAATTCCAGATGTGTGCACAAACTTGACTTACTTTTATTTTTAAGATGAACTCTCTTTGTACTAACTGCACTCTCTGCACAAACAATGTATGTTTCATTAACTGAGCACATATAGGTAAGCCATAAAAGCTCATTACCTCCCAGGGAGGTTTTACAATGTTATTTATTATTTTGGTCATCAGTGCCCTTTGCAGGCACTTCAAGATGTGTTTTAGCATGGTATATACAATTCTGTGTAATATTTACTTTTCCTGAGAAGATTCTTTATTTTTATACCAATTGACTCATTTAATTTAATTATTTATTGCATTTCTGTGAATGGAATGTTCATACTAAGGACTATGTGGTCTGATTTATTTATATGCCTATGATATTAAATAATTTTAGCTAATACAATTTTCTCCTGTTCTTTTCTTCAAAAACTTCTAACTATTTCTACCCTGACAGTGGCCCATAAGACACCTCAGTGAACCTTATTAGGACAGACTGTCATAGACTTTGCCAGGTCAGATCAGGGACATGCCATATGTTTATCTTTCCCTTGTTTTTATGGAACCGTTAAGGAGAGATCATTAATTTTTTATTGTTCCCATCTCATTTGAAAATCTTTTTCAAAAAATGGCTTTTCAGGCTTAATAAATTTGTTTTGGCACACACACAGCAGGTTCAATCACGTCACCTAGGTTTTTTTAGACTGACATGAACAAAAATCAGATAAGTTCACGTTTTGAGTCTACACTGAAAGAAATCAAACACCTGAAAATGTAACTCTAATAATTATCCAGACTGTTTTTCATTGTTCTCTCTCTTCATCTTACTTTTCTCCTGCTTTGAAATGTCAATCCTTTTTCCCATCCCAATTTGATAGGATGTGTTGAAGTTCTCAAAAAATGAGGTTTTTTTAGCTACTGTACTTTATAAGGGTAGCTATATTTTATCTTTTATAAAAATGTCTTTTCCATAAAATGTTACAGAATTGGACTTTGTTCCAACAAACAAGCATGAAGCTCTAATCTCTTTGGAAAACACTGACACAAATAGTATCTCCTTCCATTAATTTCCTTTCATCAGACATTTGCATTTGTTGGGGTTGACTTCCCTCTAAAAAAAAAATTCGTGCAGAAATAAATAAAAACAAAGAGGAATTGTCATAAACCACTGGAGATTTCAGGCATAAACTGCTCCTATGTCCAGGACAGAGGACAATGTCACTATGATCTCTCCCTTAGAAGCTGACTGACTCCCAAGGAGCTGGACATGCCAGTTGCCTCCTGTTGGCTCCCAAATAGTTCAGTGGTGCTGGACACCTGAATCTGCAGCCTAGATCGCCCTGTAGAAGTGTTTGGAGGGAAGAGTAAAACGATAGGGTCTAATCCAAGCAACCCCTCTTATGTTTGCACACAAGAAACCAGTGGGAGTCAGGTATGCTGGGCTTCACCCAGAGTTAACTACTAGGAACACTTCTCCGCTCACTGAAGAGAAGCAGACATACTCAGGAACAAGCCATCCCACTCCAAACTAGGTATGCAACATAGGTGACTGGAAAAAGACATAGAGTACAGTTCTCACTGTGGTGGGTTCAGCCAGAAAGGAGTTAACTCTACTGTGGCTGCTAGGAAGCTGTTCCTGGATGCAGGGAGCAGCACTGATAACTTCTTAGCTGGCACTGGGGAATGCCTGCACCAGCGTCAAGGTCTTTCTCCCCTTCTGACACTGCAGCTGCGTTCCCAGGTCTCGCGGTCTCGCTACAGACAGTGCTGGGACACACAGTTCAGGCACCTGACCCAAACTGACCAAGGGAGTATTTCATTCCATAGCCCGTGATGGTGGGGGCAGGGGCAGGGAGGGGTCTAGGAGCCATTACTCTCTCCCTTACTGTCTCTCCTTCGCTCCCGTACACTTGCTGACACTCTCCTGACTCCTGCGTCAGCTGCCTCTCACTACTCAACACCTGGTTATGCACTGGTCAGTGGGTGGCGAGAAACTGTATCATATTGTATCATATGTTTGCTTTTCTATTATTTTAATTGCTCATTATTAGGATTATTTGTATATATTAATTTAGATTTAATTAGTAAAAATTAATCTCAATTTTACGAGCTTCCTTATTTCTTTTTCCTCTGATTCTTCCCCTCCACTGGAGGAGGGGAGGGGGATTTGTGAGAGCAGCTTCATGGTATTTGGCTAGCCGGAGTTAAACCACGACACTCAGTTAACTACATATTTGAGGCCTATTCCTACATATGATGAATCTCACTCAAACTACTTGGGCTTTAGATGACATCCAAAATGTTCAGAACACTTTCTTTGGCTGGTGCAGTGTCTCCAGGT